AAATCCTACCATCTGAATAAACTAAAGCGTATTTAATGTAGCGAAAATATTCATTCAGACATCTAAAATACAAAATAAGTGGGCAAAGAATATCCTTTTCGATAATTTCCTCATCTAGCTCTATAATTATATAAGTATGTGTTTATATACATAGAATATTCTAGAATAGTAGTCAATAACAATATTAGTGGTTTTTAAATAATATCGATTAGTTAAGTAAGATCACAATGGAATTACAGTTCATTAAAGATGCATAAATTATAATAATAATAAACATATAATAGCAAATAGAATATCAACTAAAATTAAGGGAATTTCTACAAAAAATTGAGGATCATTTGAACCTAGATGGCCAAGGTAAGGACAATGTCTGAACTAGCTTCTTTTGGATACACGAGATAGGCTTCTTAGTGTGGATTCCAATGGCCTCAGCAATATTTAGTATACAAACCCTTTAAGGTGAAGTTACGATTTGTTGGTATGCGGTAAATGACTTTGAAAGCCACCTCGTTGACATCAATCTTGTGTTCTGTATCCACGAGATGAGATAGAATAATGCTACGAATAGATTCTGTTTGTCCTTTACTTAACCATGCCGGGTGATGTTCGGAAATCCTACGATAAACATGCCTAATTGTACGGCCTACGTAACTGGCGTGCATTTACATATACACTTTGATGAAGTTTGTGTTAAATAAGAGAGTTTTGAGTGCATTTTTAGTCCAAGCCTCATATGGCAGAGCCAGTTTACAAGAGACTATCATTTACACCGAACTCTTCCCCCCTCAATGTGTCAGTATTTTAGCCTAAGTATGCAATATTTGGTAGTAATACATTTTCCAGAATACAAACACCTCTTGGCAGACATTTTCATAATACTCTTCAAAGTAGATTTAGGAAAGTAAGCTCTGTTTCGTCTTCTCACCCTGACTACTTTTCAGTTGAATTTATTGGATGTATTTGAGCGTGATATTTTCAATAATGTATGATCCCCATCCAGGCATTAATGAAAACAAAACACGTAGATCAACGAAGAGTCTCTTTTCGGCGAATTCATTTTCTTAGCTGTACAATCGCAAATATATATGTGTTATTTTGTATGTATGTGTACAATAAGTTTATCAAACAAAAATACAATTGGTTATAGTTATTTAAACTAAACTGGTGAAGATTGGTAATTGAAGTTACGTATTACAAGATCAGTCAAGAAAATTAGGTGTTAGTGAAATTAGGATAGTAACAAAGGTGATGCGTTGTCACAAACAGTTGTGTAATAATATGAATAGTTTGATGAGTGAGTTTTACTCGGGATGCACATAGGAACAAAGTAGATAATACGAAATTACGTAAGAGTTCTAAATGAATACAAGAATTATAAGCAATGAAAGAAACAGGCGGACGAACAAACAAAATTAAGTCATGAAAATCAAAGACGTTGTTACCAAGATAGTAGAGGTGGTTGAGTAATCCTCTTTTGTATGCACAGCTACGGTTTATCTATGTGAATGGCCAGAGCTTTAGCGATACAAAGAAGGCGAAACCATATCGCTTTTGATAGGTTGTTCTTAACTCTGTAGATTACTTTGAAGGAGGCGTTTGTCGAAATGGAATGATCAGTGTTAACCAGGTGTTCAATTATCGCACTCCTTATTGCACCACTATTGCCTTTTCGCAGCCATGCTGGATAGTGTTCTTGAATCCTCTTGGACAGGGAGCGAGTCGAACGACCGATGTACCTGGCTCCACAGCAGTAGGTGAACTGATATATGCATATAAAAGTGGTCAGATGCGAGACCTTGTCCTTGAGGCTTCTGCAGATTAGTGGGCGACTGGAGAACACTATTCTTAGCGTTGCTGCAAAGAATGTTCTTCTCAGATATGATGTGATCCTTCTCTTGAGAATATTGCCTGCTAAATATCCCTCGAAATCCAGGTTCATGTAGAGTTTCTTTTTGGTGCAAGTAGAGTTTCATTTCTCCGAATTCTCGGTCAGATATTTTTGTCGATGAATCTCACTGAGTATCCATTTTGGATGAAAATTTCTCTTAGAATATCTAATTGTGTTTTCAGAGCGTCGGGACTGCAGATGCGTCGGATGCGGGTGGCAAGTGATTTAATTGAATTTCGCTTTTGTTGAACAGGTACCCAGCTATAGAAGCTTGTTAGTTGACCATTCCAAGTAGGTTTTTTATGGATCAATCTTCTTCGGCTCCCATCAGTTCTTCTTGATGTGGAACTAACAAGAAGCATTTCAGCGTGATATGTTCAATAAATAATAATGCCAGAATACTATATACATTTCAGAAATAATCCTATCAGAATTTATTATTTTTCTTCGACGAATTGTTTGAATGAGTGAATGAATATCTGGTAATGGCTTGTTTTTAAATCAGATTGAATAAATATATTCAGCTGGTTGGATTTTTCTGTTTATATATTCACAGTTGATCGGCACGCACCTCACTTCTCTTCTACATCAATCTCAATGATATTATTATTATCCCTCTTGTTTGTTTGTTTGTTTTGAGTTTATTTTGTTTTGTTTTATTTCATGATCAGATAACATTGGTATTCGTTTTGTTTCTACATTTCTCTCTGAGTATAGCCAACTCAGTGTACTGATTTTGGTTGGGATGGTTTATTGAGTTTATGGCATAGCGTGATGTTATTGTAGTTGAGTTTTATTCATATTTTTTCTTTACACAGGCAAAATATAAGAATGATTCATAAGGGTTTTTTTTTAAACAAGTGCAGACTGTTTTTCCCCCGGCTGGATTTTCTTTTCTATTCTCATGTTCATTGGTACAAATATTGAAATTGTTCCAAGTGGTTTCAGATTCTAGAGAATAATCAGACAGTCTCAAGGGTGGGAATTTGTTTTAATGACAGTGAACGTTTTCAGCACTGTCTCACATGTAATGAGTAGTGGTTATTGGACTTTATATAAAGTGTTTTACTGGAGGGGAATTCACTTGGTAAAGTTATGTTTTATGTCAATACTTGCCAGCAAGGTTTAATTCTATTCCGCAGTTCAGTGCTTTTCTACTGAGAGTCAAACATTGTAAATATGCTGACATCGGTTAGAGAAACATTGGAAAACCAGCTGTAAGTACTGGACAGCTGTTTTCTTCTAGTTTAGGACTCTTCATCAGCACGCACCCATCACAAGGTTTTGAACCCAGGACCTTCTCGTTACAAGGCGAGCTCGTAGACTGTGAAGCCACTTGGACGCGATCCACCGGTCTATATATTGTAACTTTTGCTGATTCAAGACATAGGGCGAGAGTATTTGTCTGGAAATCGGATTTGTTGTATCCCACTAACCGATGTCAGCTCACGATGAATTCCTGTGACCAAGAAAATCAATTCTCCACAAACCAACACTTGAATATCAACCTGTTGCCCACTAACAACTACGCTCTAATGAGAAATTGTGACTATTAGGGTACAGTAAGTTGGGTGTGAGGACAAATGCTCTTCACGGATGACACTTGGTAGTAGTCACGCTATATCGTGAATTGGCAGAAGTTGAAATTCATGACCTTGCCATCGCATCAGCTCCCAGCTGCTCAATGGTTTATGACCTAACCGTGTCAATGGGGGGTCCAGGTTTCAAACCTTGGTGGTAGATGTGTACTGCTTAAGAGTTTCGAACTAGACCGTCGAAACAGCTGTCCAGTACTCCCTGGTGGCTTTAAAATGGTTCTGTAATCGATGTTAGCTCATGATGAAATTCCTTAACTAATTAAATCAAATTCCTGCAAACCAGCAGTTAAATATTGTACATATAGTTTCTGATTGGAGAAACTAATGTCGTATTTGAATTTTAAACCAGTGTCACGCAGTCACAGCTATTCAGGCTTACGATTGACCCGAACTGTGGGACTGTAGTTCTTTCAAACAGTAAACTCTTATCCCCAGATCAAATGCTACTCAGTTGGTGAAATAATTGTTAAAAATTACATACTTATTCACAGAAAGCTTATATGATATTCCTCACTGTTTGTAAATCAGTGCACCTAGACCCCATGAGTCAGTGGTTAACTGGTGGAATTCACGCTAACCATGCAGGTGCCACAGCTTCGATTCCCGACTGCCGCACTTCTATTCCTTATCTGTCAGAGAGTAAGCTTGATAACTGGAAGTATAGAGTGAAGTTAACAGCCCTAGCACATGAAAAAATACAACCGTAATACTAATGAGACCCAAAAGCTTCAGGCCTTCTATGTTTCGCTCGGAACGGAATGGATAATGGAAGAGTGCTAATAAATAGTGGGACAAAACGCTGAATTTCACAGCAATGTAGAATAACTGTGAAGAAGGATTCCCCGACAGTCCTACATTTAAGAAGATCAGCTGTCTTTCACTGTTCTTCTTCAAGAAAGATCATTTAGATTCTCTTGTGTCATTCTTCTGCTTCATTGTCAGGCCATTTTTAGCTGTTAGGTATTTTTTAAATGCACATTTTGTCACAAACCGACAGCGGTTAAGAAGTTATTGAAAGCTAGTGAAGTTAGATATCTTCAGCAGTACCTAATCACGGCCTTGCAGGTGATCGAATCTGCGGTGAGGCGAGCCTTGTCCTCGGCATCTTGGGAACAAGTGTGAACCTGAAGGAAGGAATTTTCTGTGTACCCTTTATCTTAAAGTAGAACATTGAAGTAAATATCTGCGTTGTAGATCCAGTGTCAACGTAATTCTAAAATAATAAAAACATAACTGAAATCGAAACTTTTCCGAATGCTTCATTTTGCGCGTATTTTGTGTCTGATGTTATCTTAATAAGAACTGAGTAAACGAACGACAGAAGTGACTATATTCAGCATACAGTCGATACTAGAATGTGACGCTCTTCAACTGGAATGAGAATTCATATCAGGCTTTTAAAAGAGATTGAATTTGACATGTAATCGTTGTGTCAATATGCTGTTTTTTGCATATGTAAAAACAACCGTTTGAAATAATTTACTTTTTATTGCTTTATATATCTTCTCTCCTAGTAAAGATGTGCGTCTTCCTGTTCAATTACAACGTGCTATGGCAGCAGAAGCTGAAGCAGCCAGAGAAGCTCGTGCAAAAGTGAGTCGATTATTTATGTCTTACACAGACAACAATTTCTAGACTGTCTTCACCCCCTAGAGAAACAGACAAACTATAGCCTGATGTGAAGACACTCTTCATTATTTCATTTGGTATACACCCAGGTATATTTTGCTCATAAGTGCGTGTAGGCGTCTGAATGAACATACTTATAGTGTGTTTAAATTTATTGACGTTTCCCCACATTCCTTCTCCGAAGAGAAGAAATTTAGAACAAAGCGATAAGAAGGCATGCATCAGAAAAATATGAGCTCATTTTGCATGATTACTTCATTGTTCCTTGTCGACTGTGTACAGCTTAAACAATACCCAATATAAACAAATTACGAAAGACTGCTTACTACACAAAGACTATTCTTTTCGATAACTTCATCATCAAGTTCTACAGTTATTTTTCCATCCATAATAATTAAAGAATGATTGGTAATGAAAACATGAGTGGTTTTTAAAAAAAACCTAGAATCATTTGAATCAGAATTCCAAAAGTTTTTTGCAATTAGATTGTAAATAGATTATAGTCCAAAATATCTGCGTATACGTGGTAATATGTGAAATAGTAATACTAAATTGAACACCAATATAATAGCGTAAATGATTATGAGTTATAACGAATATACAGTATTAAATTCTCATCAGTCATACTCATATAAAGTTCCATTCATATTGGTTATAAACTTCAAATGGATAAGTGGTCACATAAAGGATGCGAGTAGAGAAAAAATTACTACAATAATGGTCTGAATATACTTTTGTAACTCAAAGAGGAACTATAACTAACATGTTTCTCGAGTGGTGTATTATTATTATCATTATAACTGCACGTCTCCAATTGCTTCTGTCTTCTGCTGTACTTTTCACTTGCATCCATGTCAGTCTATGCTGTTTCAACTCTTCTTCACACGATCTCCTCCATGTCATCTTTGGACGTCCCACTTTCTCCTGCGCATTTGTTGAGCGATTGGTTCTTGTTTCGTTTGTCCCCATAGTTTCTTGTTGTTGATTCTTTCCGGCCATCTAATCTTCAGTATAGAAGGAAGGCAGTTATTGATAAAGGTCTGCAACAAGCTGTTGGAAATATTCTTTGTGACCCACCAAGTTTCTGATCCGTAAAGCAAAACTGACTTGACGTTTGTATTGAAAATCCGAATTTTGTTGTTGATGCTGAGGACAGACGAAGATTTCCAGATTGGTTTTAAGTTGATGAATGTGTTTCTCGCCTTCCCGATTCTCGATTTGACATCCTCGTCCGTTCCTCCTGTAGTTGAGACAATGCTCCCTAGATAAGTGAGTGAATGAAGTAACCTCTTTTAAATCCCTCCCGTTGATGGTGATTGGCACTGGATGTTGCTGTTGTTGTTGTTGGTATAAGTGGTTGCAAATACGTTAATATAGACGAAATATACCAACTAATAAAAAGCAAGTCAGGTGACCAGAAAGTTTAAAATCCAAGTCAATAGAAAATGGTCAATACATATGTAAAGATAGTTACCAGGAGACGCAATTATATCACTCATGAAGAAATTTAAATCATTTCACTTTATGCTAAATATTGCGCAGAAAGGGGATGTTGTCCAGAAGAACGACGAAAGCTCTGCAACTTAACCAGCCAGTTCAGAGAACACTATTAATTGCAAATCATCTACCTGAGCTACAAATTTTCTCTATTATTTCAAAGTGGTTACATTATTAGGTATTAAAATGGTTGACTATACATTGAGGAGACCGTCGAATGACATCACGCACAATGTAGGCCATCGCTGGAGTGGAATCCCAATAGGAAGCGGCGATGTGAGGGTGAAATGGAGGAGATCGTATGAGGAGGAGATGAGAGATTGTGGGCGACCATGGTCCAGGATGAAGAGGAAGGCAGAAAAGGAGACAAAGTGAATATGTTTTTGAAGCCCTATGTTTCACTTGGAACTCAAGGGAGTAATAATAATGAAAATGAAAGGATTGACTATTTATAGAATAACTATGCACATATGCTTTAACAATTGGTGAGTAGGGTTCAGACATTTGGATAGAAGTAAATTTTAACCGGGAAAAAATAAGTAAGTGGGTTGCTATGACCTATGAAAATGTAGTTTTAAATTAGGAAGAAGAATAATGTCAATACATTTCAGATATGGCATTAAATTTCTTCAAAACGGAACCGAAGGAACAGACAAATTCATGAAGTATAAATTTGTCCTGCAAGGTCCATCAATGTTTCTTTCTGTGTGCATAAATTCGGTTTTAAATCGTTGTGGGCGATTGTTTCACTAAGACTTAGAAGCCTTGGTATCTGTTTTCTAGTGATTACGCTTACGGAATGTGTACAATATGAACTGTGTTCGACAGATGATGTGTAATCGCACCGTTTAATTACTTACCTAATTTCGAAATCATGTCAATTATAGTTTGTAACAGTAACCTTCTGTCTACGTGATAAAAGCTAGTTTGAAGTCCGTTGCATAAATGAGAGGTAAACTTTAGCATTGTTTAGTTGGTAAGTAATCTAAGAGATTCTTTGAAACCACACATGAATGAACTACATTTGTTCAGCTTACTTTATCCGACTTTATCAGTGTCTGATGAACCTAACTGTCAACATGGTAGGAATACGTAATGGCGAAAATCCCCAGAATACTTAAATAGAGACACGCCAAGATCCTATTGGTCGACAGATATGTTGAAGAAAACAGAGATGGGTTGTATACACGCTAAGAAGACCGTTTAGTGGTATAGCTCACCAAGCCTTCTCTCGGCGAGTTGAGCATACAGACGAAATTCCATCATGAGTACAGAAGGCTTGTTTGGCATTTGCCTGCCAATCTGCGCCATCTTTGGCTTAGTAGACGTGATATCCGGCTTGCCGGCTATTGATCAAAGGACGTGTGTTCTGCTCAGTAGCAGCTCTGTCATTTCTCCTTTGTAGCTGTGAGGTCATTGAAGGTGGAAGACATTAAAAGGCTGGCTAGTTGTCTTTAATCATATGTGCCTGCGTTCTATCTCCTATGTTAGGTGGTATAATTGAGTGAGGAATATTGAGGTGAGGCATCGGTTGAATGCTAGGTAAGGAAGTAAAATCAGTCAACGAGGCTGTGAAGCAGCTGCATCTATTGAGTCAGTTAGGACATGTGTTACGCATGCATACCTTACCATCGCCTTCCTTGACGGCCGATGTTAGCTGATATAGGATGAATGAAGTAAGAAAAGAGCTAATGGTGGTCAAACCAAAAGATGACTTCATCAGTCAATGAAATCCATAACAGTTATTTTCAGCCTACCAGCCGTGTAGAGAGGTTTAGACTTCCTGACTGGTTGGGGTTCTCGGTATAGTAAAAACCAATGTAGGCTTCAGACAATTGGTGACGTGGCTCGTAGTCCTCGTAGTGACTGGTGCAGATGCATTCACTCTCTGTGATTTGTCATATTCGATAAAACTCTATTGTTCTTCCATTTTGCTATTCTTTTTCCCTCACTCAAACTTCTGTTTATTATCTTTTTCTCTTCTGAATCTCTCTTTACTCCCTTCCCTTGCTGTGTTTGCTACAAGGAGGGAGAGTGGTAAGTTGAACTGGTGCACAGCTGTGCAAAGTTCTACGTTGAAATTAGTCAGTCAGTTCTGGCTTTTAACTTTAACGTTCTGTCTAAATGTGACTAATCTATTTACCTGTTGTTGTACATTTATGTATTCCTCCTGTTTTTTTTCTCTCTCCTCAATAATTTATAGGTTATTGCTGCTGAAGGTGAATGGAAAGCCTCACGTGCATTGAAAGAAGCTGCAGATGTTATCACTCTATCACCATTTGCTGTACAGCTAAGATATTTACAAACATTGAGTACAATATCAGCGGAGAAGAATTCCACCATTATCTTTCCATTACCAGTTGATTTAGTTACACATTTTATGCACAATAATCATGGATCGAATAACAATAATAATAAGAAAAATAATCACAACAATAACAATAATAATAATGTTGATAACAATACTACTAGTCAAGTAAAAGTAGCCCCACCGCCACGTCTCGGTCTTATCGATAGTGGAAGTAATAAGAAACCATTGGATACAATCCCGACGACAATACCAGTTATCGGTGGGACAACAATAATCGCTACTAGTGGAGTTATGTCACCGCCTGTACCTGTTGTCATCGGTGGAGAAATCCCATTTACTGATAGTAACAATAACAGCAATAATATTAATAACAACCAATTTAATGTTTAAAGCAATGCCTGTATACATTTCAGTCGATATTATCACTTGTTATCAATTTATTTTTCAACACAGAAAGAAATGAACTGCAAAAGAAAATCTGATCTGTATTTATAATTCTGTTTTTTGTGTGTGTTTTTTCTCTTTTTCCAATTATTTTAATTTGATCTCTAGAAATGAACTGATATATATGAACTTACATTGCATTTCTGCTGATCTAGTCAAGCTTATTGTAACCAATGTAGACAGTAACATTGGGGGCAGAGGTCTACAAAAACCACACATGTTTGTATTACTCATTTTTTTCAGTTTTTGTTCATGTCACTGTCATAATGTTCCATGGTTTCACATCTCATCTTCAACATAATCTGTCGCCATCATCAGCCTCATCAACATCACTATTACTGTTGTCAGAAGAAAGATAATTAATCCTCATTGCATTTAGGCTTATATATGAATATGTGGGGGTGTGCGTAGGCGACCCCAACATCAGCTTGATGATAACGAATACGTATTAGTGTGACGTATGTTTCAATTCACAGTGCATTATTAAACTGTCATGTTGAATGACCGCGTCAGAAGGATGTTATGCATTCCCCAGTTGAGAACTAAATAAGGAGTCCAAAATAAACGACTGTGTAAATATCATGTGATCTGAGGATTAAAAGAATGAACTTAATGAAGTACAATGAGCACATTTACCTACCTACCCCCTTTTTCTGAGTATTTAATCAATGTTTCAATGTTTCCAAATTCTTCGCTGTTGTTCAATTTAATCATGTTCAATTTATTTATGTGTATTCAAAACAAAAGTGGGAATCATGCATATAGAAGAATACGCTTTCTTTTTTCCTCAAAAACACTGACATACCTAGTTTTACTCTCCTCTCATCTAACTCCTTTATTATTATTGTTATTTTTCGTTCGGTTTCGTCTGTTTGTTTATTCTTACAATATTCTCTCCATGTCTTTATGTGTTGATCTGATGCAATTGTAGTGATTGGGATTTCTTATCTTCTTCTGTCGTATACATTGCTAGGCATCCTAATTATATAACCTAGAATTGTTTATTCTCAACCGTTATGCAAATGGGTAAACCAGAGACGCAAGTATCATTCACTGGGCTGCATAATTCAATGTTGACCAGCTTAATCGTTTATCCATTCTCCTTTTGTTTTACTCCTATGAGGGATTTACCCAACTTTGTTGTGTATTTATTGACTGAAAGTGTCATTTACTCTACTATTTGATCGTACATGAAATGCTTAAAGTGAGAACAGACACGCATACATTTGTCTGAGAGAACTGTTGTATTGTGAGTTCAGTGTGTGCTTCTCGGAGAATAATGTTACTTCCTACTTCTAGTATTTCTGTCGCTTCTGTTTCTAAAGTATATTCTTGTAATTATTTACAAGAGATGTATTCAAATATTCACGTATACATATACACGTACTACAAACGAAGTATCAAGTTTAATTATATTACCATTATGAATAAAGATAATAATAATAAAACTTATTACAAAAATTAAAGTATTTCTCAGTTGTTCCCTTTACTTCTTAGATGTGATGTTAGATGGAAGAGAGAATGGCACGTTAATAAAGGTCGACTTATCGAAAGCCAACATTTACAGGGCAGTATACTAACTTTACCTCTAGGAAAAAGAGAAATCTTATCCGTTCTCTACGTTCTATAGATATGGACGACAATGAACTAGAAAACCTTCGTGCAAGTCTTTTAAATAATGGATATCCTAGAAGGTTTACTGACAGAAACATCAAGATAGAAATCGTCCCTAGGCAAATCATAGTGCCGAAGAAGACGTTGTTTATGTGCTTGACGTTAAAAAGTGACACTGTTGTTGAAGTTATTAAAAGTCGTTTATCCAAATGTGTTAAACTTTGCTTTTATGCAGCTGACTTACATTTAGTATTTACCAGCCGAAATATTATTTAACAATGCGTTAAGGATAAAATAATGCACAAGTCCACACTACCCGATTTGGTTATTGAAAAGTGAGCAAATGAAGACAGAGTCTTTAATCTGTGAACACCTTCTGTAGTCAGGTCATTCAGCCCCACATGAACTGTCCTTCAAAGTTATCTATAGGACCGAATTCAATCACTCCAAAAGCTTACGTTTTCTTCACTTATGCATAGCTGCAGCTCTAGCAGTACATCGACAGAAACTTAAGTTATGCGTTCAAAAACGTTTTGTTAAACGCCTTTCTTCACTTAATATCAGTAAAAAGTTTGAGCATTGTGGATTAGATCAAATAAAGTATAATTATATTTCAATAGTTTACGCACAATGATAAGTTTTGTTATTGGTAATATTTCGAGCAAAATTACTGCCCGTGTTCACACCACTGTTGGAATTGTTTTGTTCACACATTTATGATTTGTACTCAAATATATAGTTCATTATTTTTGCTCATTCATGTTTTTTTTGTATTTGAGTTATATTCCACGTTCATTCATGTTTTTGTATTCAGAATTATATTCCAAGTTGTTGATAGTTGTATTGAGTCACCCTTGTTACATGTATCCGGTGTGACTTTAATGAATACCGATTCTGTTATAAGTCTTTCTTTCCATTTGTTCATGTTAGTTTTTAGAATACACACATTGTCCCAATCGATATTGTGGTTTTTGTCCCATGCATGTGCAGCTATGGATGAATTTTTTTCAAGATTTTTGTAGGCTTGTGCTCCTGTTGGTTGACCTTTGGTTAGGCGTTTATATTCATTCACTCTTATTGTGAGTGATCTGGACGTTTGCCCCACATATTTAGTTGGACAGTCAGCACAAGATATTTTGTAAATCAAGTTGTTTTTATCCATCATTTTTATGGGATCTTTCAGTTGATTTATTTTATTTTTGATTAGATTTGTCGGTTTGAAAGTTGTGTGAATGCCGATATTTTTGAGGTTTCTTGGAATTACGCCTCTGATGTACCATTTTTATATGGTATTGTGACTGTCTATTTGCATTCTTCCATCTTGTTATTCTCCGGTTTTACCCTCTTTCTTCTCTTTTTTATATTATCTTTTATGAATTGTTTTGGGTAGTTGTTTTCGAGTAGCATTTTGAATAGGACGTTTATTTCTTTACACTGGTCCTCTGGCGTTGTTGCAAGTCTACGTATTCGATCTGCAAGACCTTGTATTAATCCTCGTTTCACCGTGAGTGGATGAGCTGATTGATAATCAAGGAATCTTCCAGAGTGTGTGGCTTTTCTATACAGCGTCGTTTTAATGCTACCATCTGTTATTCTTTGTATTTTGCAGTCTAACATAGGCAGTTCCCCAATTTCATTCTCTACTTCCATAGTGAATTTTATTGAGTCGACATAGCTGTTTATGTGTGAGAAGAATTTCTCAATATCGTTTTTCTTCACTATTACTAGTGTGTCGTCTACATATCTTCACCAACATTTTAGTGATGACCTGAATGGTTTAAGGGCATTCTCTTCACAATAATCCATGAATATGTCAGCTATTATTGGTGAGATAGGCGATCCCATGGCTACTCCTTCATTTTGTTGGTATATTTTCCCTACGAATGTGAAACATGTTGTTGTCAGACCTTTTATTATTTCTTCTACAAATAATGTGTTCTGTCATTTAGGCCATTATCTTCTTTTAGTTTCTCTTTCAGTGCATTCATGGCCATTTGAACGGGTATTTTCGTATAGAGACTGTTTACATCAAAGCTGACTAGTATTTCATCTTCCTCTATTTTAGTGGTTTTTAGTCGCTTCACTAATTCAAATAAATCTAATATTCTAGCTCTTGAGTTGTCTCTTGTTGGTCTTAGTACTGTCGAGAGAAATCTTGATAGCCTTTCTTTACCTTGGTCATAATAATGTTCTTTTATTTTATTCTATTTTACCACTTAAATTCATCCCACTTCAACTTCGACTTCTTTGTTGTTATTATGATCGTACTTTTAATTTTTCAGACAACACATGGTGGACAATTTTAAAATCTCTGTACCAGTTCACTTATTAAATCATCTTTAAAGGTTTTGTAATTCATCCACTTCAACTCTACCCCCTTAATACATTATTTTAATTATCTTTATTCTTTTCATATGTGTAATATTGACTGAGCAATTTCTAGTGCCACTTAATACCTTTTTCCGTAATATAAATACGATTGTACAGCTTGAAAACGAAGTCGGTGAAAAGAGATATTTCTTCGTTTATCTATGATTTCATAATTTTAATTCAGATTGAGATTTTTTGATTAAGGATAGAAGGCTTGAAGTCTATGTTAATCCTTTTCCGCTGACAGCAATTCCTCTGGGAGTCGATTCCACGAGCTGATGACTCTGTGTAACAACCATTAATCCACAGCGATTTAGTTTCTCCTAGGCTTCTGAACCGTCTTGCTATGTCCTCTGAGGTGTTCCAACCTGGTGGTGGGGCAAGGAAAAAAGAAGACAGATCAGATCCATTGTTTTCCGTCTTCCTGTGGTATAACAAGTCTTTCCTTATGTGATAAATTGGTTTTGTAACAACAGAAGACAAGGGCAAGGCAACAGATCGTTTATTAAGGAAAATCAACACATATTTATAGATTTTAATGTACATTATTGTAGATTATTGTTAGTAGAAAATACAGTCTTTTGATTGGTTGTTTCCCACAGAAAGTTAACCTTGCATCTCTTTGTGGCTGCTTCAGATCATCCATATGCTAACTGTATCCGCCTATGCACAGCCTTTGTTCTCATTTTCTCACCGCCAATATTGGGGACATAAACATTAACGTCAATTACTGTCTACCAACTTTGGCTGGCAGCCAGCTCTCACCACAGTTTAACCATGAATTATACGTATTGCCTTCACTTTAAACCATTTCTAGAATATTTGAAACTACGAGCTGCCACCGCGCGGCACTGTGCTGTAGTTTTTAAGTCATGACGTATTAGGACACCTAGATCCCAATGAGTTAGAACTGATGTGAGTGTTATTCCCTCTAGTTCGTTTGACCTGAAGTTTGAGTGGCT